AGTCAAATTCTTGCATATCATAACGCAAAAAAAAACAACCCTCTTTTTTGTTCTGGCTGGGGCAGAAGTAATTGTGTTTCAGAATCCAAACACCCAGAGCCAGAAGGCACACTTTCACATGCAGTGAAAATATCTGCTTTAATAATAGTTGCATATTCCGTTTGTACCTGGGGTGTTCTTGCATTCCAAGAATCTCTCTCTCTCTCTCTCTTCCCCCCTTTGTGGTGTCAGGAAGGGCAGGTACTGTCCAGAGCATTTACAAATGCTTCCCCGAAGAGCTATTTCCTTGGGGGAAACTTATAGGGTATTTTTTACACCAAATACATTGACTGTACTAGGATAAAAAAGCACCCTTAAATGGCAAAACTGAGTAGATTTCTGTCACTGTTTTCCTTTTGCTTTTTTTTTTTCCTTTTCCTTTTTTATAGAAAGAAAACAGTGGCTGTACTCCAGGGGCCTTGTTTAGTAACATTCAGATAACAATGTCCTAAAGAAGAAAAAGTGATAGAGCCTACGCATTCTGCCAAAAGAAAGTGCAACCAGGATAGGAAAATTCACCCCCAACATTATCTTCAGGGTTGTAATCCAGGAAATTTTATTTGTAACCAGCAACAAATTCAGCAACAAATCAAGAGACATTGCAGAAACTACTGAAGTCACAGATTTTAAACCAAAATTCAATCTCCTGCAAGATTTAAATGCTTACACCAATCAGGCACTTGCTCATTACTTTGTTTAATGTTTGAGCCTTGTCAAATGTGTTCATACTACAAGGTCAGGGCAGGCTCAGGACTAAATATGGGACACCCTTTACTTAAAGATACGGTGTTGCCAGGGGCACTGCCTTTTCCTCTTGGGTAGCCCCCATAGCAAGGGCACCCCACTTCTAACCCGACCCAGAGACCCACAGAAACTCAGGCCAAGGAAGGCACTCCTGGTTCTCAGACACAGAGCTAGCCACAGCTCTGAAAAAGAGGTCTCCATTTTCAGGTGACGGGCAACCTCAGAGCAAGCCGCCGGTCTTCCCCCTCCACCCAGCAGAGATGATGCTTATGGAATAACAATGGGCTCCATCAGGTAAAGTATCTACATTTCTAAAATCTTTTCAGAGGCCACCTGGCAGATAACTCTGTCTCCAGTAATCCTTTGTCTGAATTCTTTGTCTTTCCTGCTCTGTCCCTCAAGATAGGCTCTTGGAAGTCCTGGGAAGGAGAAGAAGGATTGTCCATGTGAGAGGGAAGGGGAGAGCGCATGAAACTCTGTCTCATTTCTGGTTTCCAAGGTATAATTTAGGCAACATGACATGACATGACAACAGTCCTTGTGTCTTATGTGGCACAGTAGGTATATCCCACTGTCTTAACATCCGAACTGTGTTAGCTTGAGCCCCACGCTGATGTGAGCAGCCAGCCTGTTGTCCCCAGTTCATCGTCCACCCAGCAATTCGAAAGCTTCGGCGAGTAGATAAAGTGGGAACCACTCCTTAGAGAGGGTGGGCACACCAATCTCCCTTGTGGGAGGGTGTTAGCTGACGGTCGGGATGTCCTAGTTGAGGTTCAGAAAAAGGCGGAAGAACTTCTTGGCTACAAGAATCCCTGCAGTGGATGTTTCCGGCCAGGCGGTGGCAGTGTGGCGATTTGACATATGGGTCCTGAAGCCTGGTCGACAAGCAGCCGTTCGGAAAATGACTGAGCCAAGCCAGAAGACGTTTACGCCGTGCAGTGACAGTTGTCTTCCCTATCCCCTATGAACATTGTTAGCCCCCTGTCTAAAATGTGTAACTGTAGATCGCTTTGAGCCCACTGGGGAAAGCGATTAATATATTGAAAGTATTATTATCTATCATTTAACTTGTGCTCCCCCCCATAAAGCTTGCAATTTAGTCTCAACGTTTATTTATGGAAGGAAAAGAAATTACCATATATTGACTTTTCCCTGTCATCTTCTCCAAGTAAAGCTCTCTTGTGAATAAGCATTTGGATGATCACATTCATATTTTATCACAGTCGAAAGGAGGTTCTTTTTTTTTAAAGAGTGGATCAAAAGACAGTTAATTTTAGAACATCACTTATGAGACTGTCTCATCATAGAGGGCCATCAATGGGCTCCAGTCACGGTTACTTAAGGAGACCTCCGATACACGGACAATAAACATCTGAATAGGAAAGCTAGGAACCAGCATCAGGGGAAGGCCTTGGCCTCTACACCCTGTTGGTTGCTAGCCCCCTGTTAGGAGCAGGGGATCCCCTAATTTGGTGGGCCAAATCGCTCACTCACAACTTTAATGCCAGTAGCTCACAAAGAAGAATTTTCGCTCACAAAACTGCACAGCTTAGAGGAAGCATTGGTCAGATGTCGTGTGAAATGGAATGGTGGACCAGGTGAACCACTGGTCTGACCCAGCAGGGCTTATGTTCTTAAACAAGAGAGGAAGGTCATAATTGATGATGCCAGTTTGGTGTAGTTGTTGAGTGCGCGGACTCTAATCTGGGAGAACCGGGTTTGATTCCCCACTCCTCCACTTGCACCTGGCTGAATGACCTCGGGCAAGCCAGAGTTCTGATAAGAGCTGTCCTTGAAAAAGAGCAGTTTCTGTCAAGAGCTCTCTCAGCCCCTCCTAACCTCACAGGGACGGGAAGGGGAAGGAGTTTGTAAGCAGCTCTGAGACTCCGAGTGAAGGGCGGGGTATAAATCCAATCTCTTCCTCTTCTTCTTCTTCTTCTATTTAGTTTTTGCAGGCTTTAGAGGTAGGACTGGGCATTTTGACGACTCTCATAAGTCACAAAGGGGCTTGGGAGAACTTGAATGTTTTTAAAGAGTTAGCTTGGATTTTGCTTGTGCCTAGGCATGAGGGAGGGAGGGAGGGAGGGAGGGAAGGAAGGCGGCAGGGTACAGTCCAGGCTCATCAGGCTGGGTCAGTACTCGGATGGGAGACCATCACGGAAGACTCCGAAGCGGAAGGCAACGGCCGACCACCCCGGCTGCTCACTTGCCTCGAGAGCCCCTCGCTGGGCTGCTGTGGGCCGGCTGCAGCTGGGGAGCCCCGGCCAACACCGTCGTGACTTAAGAAACTGAGGAATGCTCAGGATGGTTCTTTCCCCCCCCCTTTTCTGGATTCACAATGTCAATTTCCTCCCTTTCATTTTTGGATTTATTCTAAATGCCAAGCGGAGCCGTTAATGTTAACACACCTGATCTTTCGAGGGAGCAAGGAAGAGGCAGCGGTTTCCTGCATTTTTACTTCAGAATGAGGATCCCTGAGCAAGTAGCCGGCTTCTTAATTTGTCAGCAAATGGAATGGACGTGCCGTGGTCATGCTTGTCAAATCTGAAGGTCACAAAATGAGTCTTTGAACCCAGGGAACTTGTAAATGGACTTTGTTCTTAACTATTATAGCATGCTTATGTGAACCTATGTCGTTCTGTACTGAACAAAGGGAGAAAACCCATTGTTAAACTTCTCATTCGGTGACATTATAAACAAAACCCATCTTTCTTTAAACTTGTTGTTGTTCAGTCGCACAGTCGAGTCCGACTCTCCGCAACCCCATGGACAAGATCTCGCCAGGCCTCCCTGTCTTCCGCCGTCCTCTGAAGTTGGCTCAATTTCATGTTCGTTGCGTCGATGAAACTGTCTCACCATCTCATCCTTTGCCGTCCCCGTCTTCTTCGACCGTCAATCTTTCCCAGCATCAGGGTCTTCTCCAGTGAGTGCTCCCTTCTCATTGGGTGGCCAAAGTATTTGAGCTTCAGTTTCATTATCTGGCCTTCCAGGGAACAGTCAGGGTTGATTTCTTTGAGGATTGACTGATTTGTTCTTCTTGCAGTCCAAGGGACTCTCAAGAGTCTTCTCCAGCACCATAGTTCAAAAGAATCTATTCTTCGGCGCTCGGCCTTCCTTATAGTCCAACTCTCGCAGCCATACATGACTACTGGGAATACCATTGCTTTGACCATGTGGACTTTTGTTGGCAGGGTGATGTCTCTACTTTTTATCATGCTGTTGAGGTTCGCCATCGCTTTCCTCCCAAGGAGCAGGCGTCTTTTAATTTCATGGCTGCAGTCACAGTCTGCGGTGATCTGGGATCCCAGGAACATGAAGTCTGTCACTACTTCCACGACTTCCCCTTCTATTTGCCAAGGAGTGATGGGGCCGGATGCCTTTAAATCTTCTTGATTTATACTTCTACTTTGAGACGCAATTTTGGACATGAGAGCAATTCTCCACACTTGCATAATGCAATCATTGACATCAGAGGCTCCCAAGCAGTCCCAACAGAAGGGGGTCCCTGATATTTGTAGCTGTTAACAAGCTCATGATGAGCTCTTGAACAGAGGCGGGGAGCACCACCTTTAACGCAACCTAATAAAGCAGCCATGCATTTGGGGTCCTTTTGCTGGTGGTTTCACCACACCAGCTTCCTCAAAGGACCTGCTCCTTCTTCTTGTCTAGGGCATATAGGTTTTTTTAATTTTTATTTTTAAATTTGATTTCATTAGATCTATATACCACCCCCCCCCAGATGGGCTCAGGGTGGTGCCCAACAGTTAAGTAATACAATTAGAGCAATATTAAAACAACAATTTGCACATAAAATATCATAAAATACCGTGTAACTATAGCAGTCGTCAGATGACCAATCAGAATCCAGCCACTGGTGGACAATTGGCCAGAAAAAGCTGGGCAAAAAAGCAAGGGCCAGAGAAGCTGGGGTGGGGGGGGAGAAGGACGCCCGCTGCCTCCACCAAATGCCCGGCGGAAGAGCTCCGTCTTGCAGGCCCTGCGGAACTGTAATGAGTCCCACAGGGCCCTGATCTCACACGGGAGCTCATTCCACCAGTCAGGGGCCGAGGCTAGCCGGACGTCCCTGGGGCCGGGAACCACTAGCAGATGTTGATTTGTGGACCGCAGTACCCTCCGGGGCTCCTATGGGGAGAGGCAGCCTCGAAGGTATGCTGGCCCCTGGCCCCATATAGGGCTTTAAAGGTAAGCACCAGCACCTTGAAACGGATGCGGAATTCAATAGGTAGCCAGTGCAGTTCGCGCAGCACCGGGTGGATACGAGCCCGCACAGGCGTCGCCGTCAACACCCTCGCTGCCGCGTTCTGCACTAGCTGCAACTTCCGGAGCAGAGACACATAGAGAGAGTTACTATAATCCAGACTGGAAGTGGCCATCGCATGGGTCACTGTCGCTAAGTCTTGGGGAGTAAGATATGGGGCTGTCTGATCCGCCTCCGACAGGAAAAGGCAGACCTGGCAGTGGTGGTGAGCTGGGTCTCCACGGAAAGGGAGATATCCAGGAACACCCCCAGACTCTTCGCCCTCGACGTAGGCACCCATGGAGCCCCATCAAAGGTTGGGGGCCTGATCCCCCGGCCCAATCCCCCCACGACTCAGGTGCAGGACCTCCGTCTTAGATGGATTTAACTTCAGTCAACTCTGTCGTGACCATCCAGCCATGGCCTGTAACGCCTCGTCAAGATGTTCTGGGGTGGTGTCCGGGCGGCCGTCCATCAGTAGATAGAGCTGGGTGCAATCCGCGTACTGGTGACAACCCAGCCCATATCTCTGGATAATCTGGGTGAGGGGGCGCATATAGATATTGAACAGCATGGGGGAGAGGATCGCACCCTGTGGGACATCACATTCTAGTGGGTGCCACTGGGATAGTCCCCCCAAGTGCCACCCTCTGTCCCTGACCCTGGAGAAAGGAGACTAGCCATTGCAAGGCAAATCCCTGTATCCCAGTGTCGGCGAGGTGGTGGGTTAACACCTCATGGTCAACCATGTCGAACGCTGCTGATAGTTCGAGCAGAATCAGCAGCGCTGAACTGCCTTGGTCCAAATGTCTCCAGAGGTCATCCACCAGCATGACCAGCACTGTCTCCATCCCATGGGCAGGGCGGAAGCCGGACTGGAAGGGATCCAGGACCTTAGCTTCATCCAAGAACACCTGAAGTTGTGTTGCCACTGCCCTCTCTACCACCTTACCCAGGAATGGTAGATTAAACACTGGGCGGTAGTTAGGTAGTTTCTTAAGGAGAGGACAGACTACTGCCTCCTTGAATTCCTTTGGGAAGGTCCACGTTGAAAGGGACAGATTAATAATCTCCCTTAACCAGGCACGATGGACAGGGATCCAGGAGGCAGCCAGATCCCTGGCTTAACAGCTATCAGGATCTTGTCGACTTCGTCCTGGGAGAGCAGACTGAAGTGGTCCAGAACTGGACCTGAAGATGGTCAATAAGAACACCTGAAGTTGTATTGCCACTGCCCTCTCTTACCACCTTACCCAGCTAGCAGGAGTGAGCTGACAGTGTCATTCTAAACAGAGTTACACCCACCGACTTGCTTGTTCACGCTTTTTGGCCTCACAGGAGGATTCAAAGGGGCTTACAGAATTTAAAAAAAAAAACACGACAGAGGCACAAGACA